TGCTGGTCTCTTGCACTTGTACCCAGTTATACAATAGTCTATGTTGTTCCCTTCATTTTTTCTCAGACCCTTTTCTTCCCTTGCTTCTGTACCAAGAGTGCGCATAACATTCATCTGCCCTTTCAACCCTCTTCCCACATTTGAGAGTGCAAGTTATTCCATGCCTTATTCTTACACAGTGAGATTTTCTCAATGTTTGTTAAGACAAGGCTGGGAAAGAATTTGGTAGCTCTTTCCTCTCAGACCATTTAGGCTGCTGTCTGTCACTTCAGCTTTCTACTGGCTGTGCTGGTTTATCCACCAGCCCCTGCCCTTTCAGGCCACACTCTGCGATCTGAGGAATGCTCGTTAGGCCTCGGCCTTGATGAGCAGCCCCTGGGCCCAGCTCCTCTTGAGCTCGTCAGAAACACCATCTGCTCCCGGAAACTTGCGCTGCCTAATGAGCTCCTGGAATTTTTATGAACAACCGTGGAAACTTTTTTTCTTGCCTGAATGGTGTAACATTCTTATTCTCTCACTCTCAAGGAAAGGGCGCTGACCCGAAGCATAGCCAGGTTGGAACATTGTTATGACTAAGGCCCGCTCACTTGTGGCCCACAAGCAGCGTTCCAAAATGAGACCCTTGGAGCTCTCCTGGGCCACAGTGGCTGGGACCAGCAACCTCCCTCTGGGCCAGCAAAATCTTTCTTTTGCTGCACTTGGAGATCACCAAATAACAATTGATCCTGGGCTGATATCCCAGCTCCTAGAGGCCCCTTTGCCCATTGAGGAGATGCAAAGGCATCCCGAATGAGTATTTTGTTACCTTCGTGTAGGAATGTGCCCCCTGTTGACTGAGTGACAAGACTATCCTTTGTCTCTTTAAAAAGGAAAAAAGCCCAGATGTTTCTTTCCTCGATTAGGTAAAAAGACACCTCATAGGATCTGGGGGACTTCACCTCAAACTTAAGGATAGCCAATTGGACAGAAGCCAAAAAGTCCTACCTAAGCAATTTACTAGAAAAAGAAGAGAACAAAGAAACTAATTGCTTTTGTGAGGTGTTTTACCAGGAGCAAGAACCTCTTGCCCTGGCTCAGTTTTTCTCTGTAAAGAGGTTTGTTTTTATGCCTTTTCTTAAAACTTTTTTGTTTCCAACACTGCCACAGAAGCCATCCTGCTGATTTTATGCCTTCTAAGGTAGCTGAGCTATCTTGGGTGTGATATAGATCTCCAAGAGCTTCTGAGACCTGGCTCAAGAAGACCATATATCACCTTTGAGGGGAATTTTTCACACGTACCTTGCACTGACTCTTTATGTCCGTGTGCATACAAGTGTGCATAGCTATGGCAAAACAGGAGAAATGCTGCTCTTTCAGGTGCTTTAAGTATCTTAGGTATCTAAGTAAATTAGGGCTGTAAGTAACTTTAAGCTATAAGCTAAGTTAAATGCTGTTGAGTGCTATTCCTTTGCTAAATTTTTAAGTTTAAGGTATAATTTAAGTTATGTTAAATGCTGTTCAGTGTTGTTCCATTACTAAATTGTCAAGTTTAAGGTACAAGTAAGGTACTGTTAAGTTTGAGTGCTATTAAGCTTTTATGCTGTGTTTCTTTTTATCCTTGCCCTTTCTATCCTTTTATCACACACAGCTAAACACACACACAAAAATAGATAGTACTTGGTTAATTTCTGTTTAGATTGAGTGGATTTTGTTTGTTCCTTTTTTACCCTTGGTGTGCCTTAACCATCTAGTAAGTAGTAGAGTGAACCATGCCAATGACCTTTGTCATGCTGTTGCTTAGTATTAAATCTGATTTTTACTGATACCCTTGCTGGTGGTTTTTTAAGCGATCTCAACTTTCAAAACACTGAATAATGAGGCTTTCTATTCAGGTCTCCTTTTTTCCCTCATAAGTGATCTGGGAATCCATGAGTGCAAGATGTACTTGTGGATACAACCTTTCTGTGACTGTGGTAAAAACAAAGAGTAATTTGCTGACAACTCCCTTAATCAGAAATTTCCTTTGTTTTTTGAGCAACTGACATGAATTCCTCCTGGACTTTCACAAACACATATATGCAGTTATAGCTGAACTGAAATTTCTGCCCATTCTGCATTTTAGGTTAATTCAACACACTTTACATATGTGTGCAACTACTTGAAGATAATAGAATATTTGTTTTTCAACTCTGAGCTTAGCGTAGTGTTCCATTCCATTTAATGGGATAGATGAAAATAATTCAAAAGATAAGTGCAGATATCATAATTTTAATGTCCCGTCATAAAAGAAAGATAGTTTTCTAAGAGATTTCACTGCATATGTAAAAGGTGCAAAAAGAGCTCAGTGAATTGGCCTGAATACACAGCAAATTTTGGCTTATGAAAGACTCTTGCAGCTCAGCCATGAGTAAGACTTGCATTTCCATATCTCAACAAACTAAGCTCCTCTGAGATGAAAAAATAAGGAATTTTGGTTAAGAAGTTGTCCGTTTAATAGATGTGTATTTTGGTGTATGACTCTATCCAGTGAAATGTTCCATTCCTGCCTTTCATTTCAATATGCACATGCAGAGTAATAAGGGACCATCAGATAATGTGCCCAACTGCCAATTGTACATGTGCTACCAATTCTTAAATCATGTTCTGGTGGGCATTGAAAGCAGAGTCCATCAGCTGTTGTCCAGAATTTCCATAATGAAAACTCCAGGCATGCTTATAGGAATGCAAATCAGAGAAGGATCCTGTATTCATCTCTCATCTAGATATTTGCATTTCTTGCATTGAGCTAAGGATGCTAATCAAATTACTGTTTTTTCACTTGGAAAAGACTATGCTGTAGAAAAGAAATGGAGTCTATTCTCTTTTTTGAATTACTCACTGATGACTTTTTTCATCATTAAATTACAGTAATATAGAAAAGTACTTTTAACAGAAAAGGGCTTTGTTTAAAATGCCGGCCTCATTGCTTTATGTTACGTGTGTGCAGTTTCCTAGAAAATCTTGTGAGTGTTTTCCTGGATGCTCAATGTGAAGAGCTACAGGACAAGATGATTTGCATGATGTCTTTCAGCAATGTTAGAGCAGGATGAGCTTTGAATTTTGTTTCTTTCCTGATTTGATTCACTGTACCAGATGTGAATCTAGCTGCCATTGCAGTAATGTGACATTGGTGTGTGTGGAAAGAGTTCGTATGTTTCAGAATGGTCTGATTCCATGACTTCCAAAGCTTCTTCAGGTTGCAAACTGGCAGGTTTAAGCTGGAGGGAACAAATCACCTTTAGATTACAAAGAGAACAGAGAAAAGAGAAATTGCCTGCTCTCAGACAAGATACATGTCTTCAGAGGATCCTAAGCCCAAGAAATGTAATTCTTCTATTAATACAGGAATTGCTACTTTCCTTCCCAGAACAAATCCCTTATCTTATAATTTATCCAATAGAATGCAGGGATTTAGTAGATGATGTATATAATGCATGTTAAAGATATTTTTCTTCATATGGCCAGAGTTAGTCAGGAGGTTAGTTACCAAAAGAAAGGTCTCCCAGAAGACTGACCCTATAAGCAGCTTTCCAATATTTCTGTTGGCTTTCCCTCTTAGATTTCCAAATGTATGCTAAAAAACTGGTAACTACTTTATTAAATTTTATTGAAAGGAAGCTTTGGAGGAAAGATGTACTTATAGAGGCAGGAAAAGAGCACAAGAACTGCATTTGAATCCCATGTGCATGAGGAACATGGAATAAGGGAACGTTAAACCAAATGGTGTGAGAGCAGCTGTTCAGGGTGTCCCTGCTGAGCAGCCGTGTGCCTCAGAGCTCAGGCCGGAGCAGGACAGCACACACGGGTTGTGGGTTGAGCACAGCCCACGTGTTCTGCCTGTTGGTGTGGTCAGAGAGCTCTGAGGTTTGTTCCTGAAGGCCGGTGAGGGGAGAGCAGGGAAGGGCAGAGGAGGGACCAACCCTCCCAACATGGGTGTCTCATGGTGCTGGGCCGGGAACCAGCATGGTGACAATGCATGGTGCTGACAATGGCATGTCACGGTGCCATTGTCATGGGCTCAAATTTCAGCATGTCTGTTAAATGGCATAAAAAATGTTCATGGAAGCCAGTGGTGTTACCTGTGGCACAACTTATGTCACGAGGGAAAGAAAGACTCCATCTCAAGTTATAGTTTGACTTGGTATTTATTAATTTGTAAAATAAAGCAATTCAGGCACAGACCTCAGCTCAATTACAGGTACATTGCTTCAAACAGATTGACAACATCCAAACGAGACACATTGATTCAGGATGGGCATAATCAATATAAGGCTCAGGTCAAGTATGTTTCAGTGACAGTCACTTTAAAAGTAAATAAAATCCCAGTGCAGCTGGAAAGGATTCTAAAGCTCCAGTCCTACTGTACCAAGAATGTAGTGAGATTTTCCTATTAGCTGCGATCACAGGACTTTGGCGAATCCTCCAGTGCATCATTTCACTGGGAACACGGACACTGGTCACTCCTTCAGCAGGAGCAAGGAAGCTCAAATGTCTATGTCATTTCATACCAAACCTTGCCGGAGTTTTAAAGACACTTTTAGAGTCTACAACCTTTTTATCTACAATTCAGCAGTAGTGAAATATTATGAGTAAGATATTCCCATCTTATTAGGAATTCTTCAGCATCATATTTAGGAGCTTGTATTAACCAGAAACAGCATTCAAGCATCATATTCCCAAATTAAATGTGAGCATGCTTGTGATCAAGCAGGGGTGATCTGTTTGTGTAATGAATTAGTAACTTTAAGCATTTCAAGAGGGATTACAGTCTGGTCTGAATCTTGTCCATGTTTTTCTGCTGTCTTAAAGAAACTGGGATTTTCAAGGAAAGAAGAGTAAATAGGAGACAATTTTCACCTTTTTCTTAACTCCAGATTAGTAATCTAATCTACCCATTTCAGTTTCAATTACTTTATAACTCTTTTGGTTTAAAATAAGTTCACTGACAACTCAACTAGACAGTCCAGGATAATCATGATCTTTTACATGGATGCAATTCTGACAGAACAGTTGATGTGGTGCCAAATCCGAGCTGGCAGCTCTTGAAATTTGGGATTGCTCCAAATTAGGACCAATGTGTGTGCTGTAGGGCAGGCAGCCATTACAGCTATACATATGGATTTTGGGGTGCTAAAACGTAAAAACAAATTGTATAAAAGAAAAGTGAAAGCTATGAAATATGTAACATAAAAGATAAGTAAGGAGCAGACTGACTTGATGGCTTTCATATGGGCCTCTAAACTGGGATCCCTGAAGCCACTTGCATTATTTTGCATGCGTCTGGTGTGGATCCACAGAGACCGAATCAGCAGTACACTTGAAACAACAGACAGTATTAAAGGCAGAGCTACACCAGCATTATAAAGAAGAATTAATAAACCAGAGCTGTCTTTCCTTGTGGTTGTCCATGCTGAAGAGTTTGTCATGGATGAAGGAGCAGTGATGTTCTCGTGCACACTGTAGACATCCCAGACAAAGGCAGATGCAGTTATGAAGGAGCAGAGCCATGATGTGAGCAGCATCCAGGGCATCAGCCTGGCAATTCTCAGCTTCAGCCAGATGAAGAAAGACTGTGTAAAACTGGCAACCTTGATGCAATAGAAGACACTAAGCCAGGCTCCAAACCAGAGGCTGGAGTAGTTCAGAAACATATAGCCTGTCCTGATAACTCCAAATATATTTTCTTCAAAATAGGAGGGTTCACAAAATATAGTTAAGAATAAATCCAGTATAATCCAGCATTGCAATGTAATTTTAGATGAACTCAGCGAGATCATGATCATATCATATGGGGGCCATGTTTTGCTCCCAAGGCAGCTCAATGAACTGGCAGCCAAGATAATTCCATTTCCCAGAATTCCTGCCATACATTCAATTATAGCAATTGATAGACAAAGGAGAGCAAAAGATGTCATCATTGCAACTGAAGAGCTTGTGATCATTACTCAGCTTCTCCTGGGCTCCTGAAAGCCTCAGATCTGGCAGGCACTCCAATGCCAAGGAGCTGTTATGGGCAATGCTCACCTATTTATCTCAGGGGCTGAAGTATCCTAATGACATTTAACATTTCTGCTGTTTTACATCTTGTTTTCTGGATTGGTAGCTCAACTGATTTGTCTAAGCATGCAAATGGGGTCAAGATTCAATTACATAGCTTTCATTTTGCTGAAAGAATTTGCATTGGAAGGGCTATTGAGCAGCTGAACTGTGGTGTTTACAAATGTGGATTTGCACTCCAGGGTCTGGTGCACATCATGCCTAGATTTTTGTTTTATAGTTGATGCCTTAATGTCTCCCTTTGTTGCACTGTAATCTCTTCAGGGTTTCTGAGACATACTTGACATGGCCTCTTCTCTTTATCAGATATTTTCAAATTTGTCCTGCAAAGAGGATTATCATGTTTTTCTTTTGTGTTTGGAGATATTAAAGCATTATAATTTTCCAATAGAACAGAGGGATTTCATAGGTGGTGTATATAATATGTGTTGAAGACAGTTTTATTAATATGAGAATAGTTAATTAGCTGGTCAGTTGCAGACAGAAAGGTCTCCCAGAAGACTGACCCTATGAGCAGCTTTCCAATATTTCTGTTGGCTTTCCCTCTTAGATTTCCAAACGTATGCTAAAAAACTGGTAACTACTTTATTAATTTTATTGAAAGGAAGCTTTGGAGGAAAGATGTACTTATAGAGGCAGGAAAACAGCACAAGAACTGCATTTGAATCCCATGTGCATGAGGAACGTGGAATAAGGGAACGTTAAACCAAATGATGTGAGAGCAGCTGTTCAGGGTGTCCCTGCTGAGCAGCCGTGTGCCTCAGAGCTCAGGCCGGAGCAGGACAGCACACACGGGTTGTGGGTTGAGCACAGCCCACGTGTTCTGCCTGTTGGTGTGGTCAGAGAGCTCTGAGGTTTGTTCCTGAAGGCCGGTGAGGGGAGAGCAGGGAATGGCAGAGGATGGACCAACCCTCCCAACATGGGTGTCTCATGGTGCTGGGCCGGGAACCAGCATGGTGACAATGCATGGTGCTGACAATGGCATGTCAGGGTGCCATTGCCATTGGCTCAACTTTCAGCATGTCTGTTAAATGGTATAAAAAATGTTAATGGAAGCCAGTGGTGTCACCTGTGGCCAAGTTTCTGTCATGAGGGAAAGGAAGACTTCATCTCAATTTATTCTTTGACGTGGTATATTTTAATTTGCAGAATGGAGCAATTCAGGCACAGACTCAGCTCAATTACAGGTACATTGCTTCACAGAGATGGACAACATACAAATGAGACATATTGAACCAGGATGGGCACAGTGAACACAAGGCCCAAGTCATGTATGTTTCTGTGTCAGTTACTTTAGAAGTATGCAAAGTCCCCCTGCAGCTGAAAAGGGTCATGAAGCTCCAGTTCTGATGTAACAATATTGCACTGACACAGATCACTATTTCAGCAAGAGGAGGAATCTTAAAAGGAGGAATCTGAAAAAGCCGTGTCATTCTTTCCTGAACCATGCTGGAATGTTAGAAACACCTTTAGAATCAGCAAATATTTTACTAGAATTCAATTAGATTTGAAAATGATGAATGAGATATTCTGAAAATATTGGGAATTCCTCAGAATCCTCATTAGGAGGTTTTTAGTAACCAGAAACCACTTTGAAGCCTTATGTTCACAGAATGTCTCCATGCCTGTGCTTAAACCAGGCTAATATATTTGTATCAGGTGTTCTAACCTCAATCATTCCAAGAGATTCCATACTAGTCTGAGTCTTGGCCTAGTTTTTCTGCTCTCTTAGGGAAATTGTCATGATTTCCAATGAAAGTACAGCCGATAATAGACAACAGACACAATTATTCTTAACAAGACTGACATCTACATAAAGCAAATTCCTACCTTCCTACTGACTGCTGATCAAGGCCCTAATCTACTCATTCTAACATCTGTTATTTATCCCTCTGATGATTTCAATTTAATTGTTCTGGATCTAAACTAGAAAGTCCAGGCTAAGGCATTGTCTTTTACATGGATGCAGTTCTGCCATGGCAATTAGTGTGGTGCCAAATCCTAGCTGGCAGCTTTTGAAATTTGGGATTGTTCCAAATTATGACAAAGGAATGTCCTGTAGGGCAGGCAGCCATTAAAACGACACAAATCATTTCTCCATTGCTTAAACGTGAAAAAATGTTAAATAATATGACAAGAACACAAATAAAGTATATAATGTAAAGGAAAAGGAAGGAGCAGACTGACTTGATGGCTTTCATATGGGCCTCTAAACTGGGATCCCTGAAGCCACTTGCATTATTTTGCATGCGTCTGGTGTGTGTCCACAGAGACCGAATCAGCAGTACACTTGAAACAACAGACAGTATTAAAGGCATACCTATACCAGCATTACAGATAAGAATTAATAAACCCAAACTGTCTTTCCTTGTGGTTGTCCATGCTGAAGGGTTTGTCATGGATGAAGGAGTAGTGATGTTCTCGTGCACACTGTGGTCATCCCAGGCAAAGGAAATTGCGGCTGTGAAGGAGCAGAGCCATGATGTGAGCAGCATCCAGGGCACCAGCCTGGCAATTCTCAGCTTCAGCCAGATGAAGAAAGACTGTGTAAAACTGGCAACCTTGATGCAATAGAAGACACTAAGCCAGGCTCCAAACCAGAGGCTGGAGTAGTTCAGAAAGGTAAAAATTGTCTTGGGAACTAGGTACACATTTTCTGTATAAAAGAAGTTTTCATAAAATATAGTCATAAAGGAATCCAGTGTAATCCATGACTGCAAAATGAATCTAGATGAACTCAGGGAGATCATGATCATATCATATGGGGGCCAGATTTTGCTCCCAATGCAGCTCGATGAACTGGCAGCCAAGATAATTCCATTTCCCAGAATTCCTGCCAGGGATTCAATTATAGCAATTGATAGACAAAGGAGAGCAAAAGATGTCATCATTGCAACTGAAGAGCTTGTGATTATTGCTCAGCTTCTCCTGGGCTCCTGAAAGCCTCAGATCTGGCAGGCACTCCAATGCCAAGGAGCTGTTATGGGCAATGCTCACCTATTTATCTCAGGGGCAGAGGTATCCTAATGACATTTAATATTTCTGCTGTTTTACATCTTGTTTTCTGGGTTGATGTATCGGCTGCTTGGTCTAAGCATGCAAACCGGGTCAAGATTCAATTACATAGGTTTCATTTTTGTTGAAGGATATGCATTGGAAGGTCTATTGAGCAGGTGAACTGTGGTGTTTACAAATGTGGGTTTCCACTCCAACGTCTGGTGTACTTCTTTACATATCTAGATTTACTTTTCTATCTAATGCCTTAATGTCTCCCTTTGTTGCACTGTTATCTCTTCAGGGTTTCTGAGACAAAGTTGCCATGGCCTCTTTATAATAGTTGTGTTGGTGTTCTCTTTATCATATTATTTTCAAGTTACTGCTGCAAAGACAATTGCCATGTTTTTCTTTTGTCTATGGGAAATTTAAATAATTTTAATTATCATTGCATGCTTCATCTAAGTGTCCCAGTAGAGAACGATAAATTTCTGTGGGAAGATCAGAACAGAGAAAATGAAACCAATTTTACAGAGTTCCTCACTGGTACATTTTTTACCCGCCTCCAGAATAGATGTGGAATTTGCCTAACGAATTTAAGATTTGGGAATATACAACATTACATACAGGGGCAATGTCACAAGCATTATTTGAGGCACAATTCTGCTCCCCTTTGGAATATGCATGTTTTTGAAGTTCTGTTATATATGCTAAATTTCCACATCCAAGGTGATGTGGGTCTTCTAAGTAAGTGGAGAGGCTTGGATTCCTTATAAGGCTTTGGAACTCACGTTTCATGTGTAGCCCAGAATACGGAAGGAAGCACACCAAGGCTCTTCAGAAACGCAGTGGCACAAGTAGCTGTCAGTAGCAGAGTAAGAAGTTGTAGGCAGTGATCAAATGAGAAATTTTGAGATGTTTTCAAGGTGGTTTCTTTGAGTAGTTTGAAATTACCTAGTGCTTAATGTAATCTATGACGGCCTAGGAGAGTGATCGAGCCTTTTTGATCATGCACTCATAGGAGTAAAACTTCATGAGCATTCACCTCAGATTTATGTACGTATGTTTATATACTTTATATGTGTAGTGCTGTATGTACTATGTACATATAAGGAACAGATACTAATTATTTGAAAATATATTCCAAGAAAAAGATTCACATAATTGAAGACCAAATACAAATATTTTAAAGATTATTTCACTTTAGTATTGCTACAAACTCTTTTTCTCTTCTTACAAAGAATATTATTAATAATTATTTTTAGTGAGAGCAACATGATTGCATATGCTTCATTTTTGTTTTTTAATCTGGGTTTATCACTTTGCGACCCAGTGATTCAGAGACCTCACTCTATGTTCAGTTTTGTTTGATACATGCTCTGAATGGCATTGCCACTATCATATCGTCAAAGTTCTTTATTGAAATTCAGTTGAAATTGCCAATTTTCCTCTTGTCAAAACTTGCATAATACTCACCTATTCTTCTGATTTTGTATGTTTGCCAAACCAATTCAAAATTCACAGAAGTCCTTGCTTGAAGGTTTTATAAGAGTTTAGAACATTCCGCTTCCAAATTTTGCAAGTGTACCTGTATGAGAGTTTTTGAAGTTGTCATATTTATACAATTTTTGGCACAAAAATCTTTGAAAAGCAGTCTCTTTCTCATCCCTTTTAAAATCTCACTTTCACCTTGAAGAAATATAAAAGTGTGTTTGGTTTTTTGACAGGAACAGCTCTGTAGCATGCTATAGTCAGACACTTCCAAGAGAAAAAGGTGAGCAAATACGTATCACTTCCCTTTTAGTAAAAGAAAACTGTGGAACTGCTGTTTAAATTCAACTCATTAAATTCAGCTCTTTTAAGCTTACTCATGGAATCAGAGAACCACAGAAAGGTTTGAGTTGAAGGGAGCCTTAAAGACCATTGAGTTTCAACGCCCTGCCATAGGCAGGGACACCTTCCTGTAGAGCAGGCAACTCAAAGCCCACTCAGCATTGAGCCTGAGCCTCTTGCCACAAGACAGCCAGCAAATGTCTGTGTGGTCTGTGTGGGGTTCAGGGGCAAGGTTTTGGCAGCTGGGAGGCTGCAGGGGTGGTTTGTGTGAGAAGAGACTAGAACGTGCCCCTGTGTCACACAGAACCAGTCCCTGTTACCCCCAAAAGGGACGCACCATTGGCCAAGGCTCTGCCCACCAGTGCTGCTGGTGACATCTGTGTGACAAGTCATTTAAAGAAGGGTAAAGACCAGTGCACAGCAACTGTGAGTGAGAGGACAGAGAGAGAAATGTGAGCGAAACTGCCTTGCAGACAGCCAGGTCAGTGAAGAAGGAAGGGGACAAGATGCTCCAGGCACCAGAGCAGACATAGCCATGCTTTCCCTGGAGAGGACCGTGCTGATGTAGACTGAGACCCTGCAGGCCCTAGCAGGGTCACACTGCAGCAGGTATCCACACTGCAGCCTGAGGAGAGCCCCCTTGGCAGCAGGTGATAGTGCCCAGAAGGAAGCTGCATCCTGTGGAGATCCCACCATGGAGAAGGCTCGTGGCAGGGGCTGCAGCCTCAGGGGATCTCATGCTGAAGCACTTTGTTCCTGGAAGATTGCACCCTATGGAGAGGATCCCCCCTGCAGTCCCCATTCCCTGTTCCCCAGCCCTGCTCAGGGAGGGAGAAGATGGAAGCGTGAAGAGGCAGGGATGGGGGGAAATGGTTTCTGGTTTTGTTCTTTCTTTCTTTCTCACTCCCCTAGTCTGTTATTGATTGGCAATCTCTTATGGATTGGAAATAAATTCAGTTATTTTGCCCATGTTGAAGGGATCCCCAGAAGGCAAGGCAAAGACAGTGAGGGCACTGTCAGGCCTGCAGTCCACCTACGGTGTGGGCAAGGACAGCAGATAAGCTCTGTGAGAACAATTAGGGACAGGCACAAGTCCAGGGATTTCCAGCCATATCCGGAGTGATACGACATGCCCAGGATCAAGCCAGTAATTCCAATCTGCAGGCCAGGATCAGTGTCCCAGTGAGCCAAGCAGGTGGAAAGGCCCAGGCAAAGCTGCAGCACAGCTCAAGGAGAGACCAAGGTACACCCAGCAAGCTTAGGAGCAGGTCCTGAATGTAGAGGACTCCAAGCCCCACTGAGGCTTCACTCAGCAATTTGCTAAAAGGCCAGTCAGGAGGAAGCTGGCTCTGAAACAAGACAGCCAAACCCCCAAAAGCAAGGCCTTACTTTCACCAGAATGTCCATTTACAGCTTTTTGTCTTTCCCTGATCCCACATATACAGAAAAGCAGTACAGCCTGGCACACAGGTTTTGCTTTTTTAAAATCCTGCTGTGATGGGCACTGAAAATTGACTCCATTGCCTGTTGTCCTGAATGTCAATGATGAAAATTCCAGGCATGCTTATAGGAATGGAAATCAGAGAAGGATCCTGTAGTGATCTCTCATGTAGATATTTGCATGTCTTGCCTTGAGCTAAGGACTCTAATCAGATTCCTGTTTTTTTTTCTTGGAAGAGACTGTGATTTAGAAAAAGAATGGGGATGGCTTTTTTTCTTTCTTCCTCTGAATTACACACTGGTGATTTTTTTTAATCATTAAATTCTGGAAATCTGGAAAGGTGTTTTTAATAGGAAATGATTTTGTTGGCCTCGTTGTTTTATGTTGCATGTGAGCATCTTATAAATTCTCATGAGGTTTACCTGGATCTTCAATGCAAAGAGCTACAGGAGAAGATGATTTGCATTATGTCCTTCTGGCAGTGTTAGAGCAAGATGAGCTTTGAATTTGGTTTGTTTCATGATTTGATTCATTGTACCAGATTTGAATCAAGCTGCAAGAGGGTCTGAGTAGCATTGGTGTGTGTGGAAACAGTTCATATGTTTTGGAAGGGTCTGAGTCCATGGCTTTAAAATTTTTTCAGGTTGATATATAGTTAATTAAGACGTAGGAATCAAACTAATTTCCATCTTATTGAAAAATAGACAAAAAGAGAAAAATGTCTGCTTTCAAACAAGATGTGTGATATCAGAGAACCCAAACTGCTGTAATTCTCATCTTCTTACTAGTACAGAGGCTGTTACTTTTGATTCCCAAAGCAGGTTTTTATCAAATTTATTTAAGAACTTATCTAGTAGAACACAGGGATTAAGTAGATGGTGCATATAATGCATGTTGAAGATATTTTTTTCATGTGATAATAATTATTTGGGTGGTCCTTTACATAAAGGAACATCTAGCAGGACATTGGCCCTATGAGGCGCCTTCCAATATCTTTGCCAGTGTTCCCTCTTAGATCCCCAAATTCATGTCAGTGTACTGGTAACTATTTGGTTTAATTTTATGGAAAGGAAGTTATGGAGGGAAGATGTACCTAAAGAGGCAGGAAAACAGCACAAGAACTGCTTTTGAATCCCATGTGCATGAGGAATGTGGAATAAGGGAACGTTAAACCAAATGGTGTGAGAGCAGCTGTTCAGGGTGTCCCTGCTGAGCAGCCGTGTGCCTCAGAGCTCAGGCTGGAGCAGGACAGCACACACGGGTTGTGGGTTGAGCACAGCCCACGTGTTCTGCCTGTTGGTGTGGTCAGAGAGCTCTGAGGTTTGTTCCTGAAGGCCGGTGAGGGGAGAGCAGGGAAGGGCAGAGGATGGACCAACCCTCCCAACATGGGTGTCTCATGGTGCTGAGCCGGGAACCACCATGGTGACAATGCATAGTGCTGACAATGGCATGTCAGGGAGTCATTGACATGGGCTCAACTTCTACCATCCCTGTTAAATGGTATAAAAAATGTTAATGGAAGCCAGTAGTGTCACCTGTGGCACAACTTATGTCATGAGGGAAAGAAAGACTCCATCTCAAGTTATAGTTTGACTTGGTATTTATTAATTTGTAAAATAAAGCAATTCAGGCACAGACCTCAGCTCAATTACAGGTACATTGCTTCAAACAGATTGACAACATCCAAACCATACTCATTGAATCAGGATGGGTACAGTGAACACAAGGCTCAAGTCATGTATCTTTCAGTGACAGTTTCTTTAAAAGTGAATATACTCCCTCTGCAGCTGGAAAAGGGTCATGAAGCTCCAATTCTGATGTAACAATAATGCACTGACAACAATCATTACTTCAGGAAGAGCAGAAGATCAAAAGGCTGTTTTCTTCTTTACTAAATCATACTGGAATCTGAGTCTTGGCCTTGTTTTTCTCTTGTTCCAGAGCAACCATTACAATTTCCAAGGAAAGTGTATCAAATAGGAGACAACTTGTACAATTTTTCAAAATAAGACTCACATACAACTAAAGCAAATTTGCACTCTTCATGATTCCAGATCAAGGCCCTAATCTATTAATTCTAGTGCCTATTATTTTATATTTCTGACAACTTCATTTTAATTGATTTGGATCTAAACTAGAAAGTCTAGGCAAAATCAGATCTTTTATATGGATATAGATCTGACAGGACAGTTAATGTGGTCCCAAATCCTAGCTGGCAGCTCTCGAAATTTGGGATTGCTCCAAATTAAAACCATTGTGTGTCCTGTAGGACAGGCAGCTAATGTAACTATACACATGCATTCCTCATCACTTAAATGTGAAAAAACTCTGGAGTAGAGGAGAAGCAAGCAAATAAAATATGTAATGTAGAAGATAAGGAAGGAGCAGACTGACTTGGTGGCTTTCATATGGGCCTCCAAGTTGGCATCCCTGAAGCCACTTGCATTATTTTGCATGCGTCTGGTGTGGATCCACAGAGACTGAATCAGCAGTACACTTGAAGCAACAGATAATGTTAAAGGCAAAGGTGTACTTGCATTCCAGAGATAAATCAATAAAGTCAGTCTGTCATTCCTTGTGGATCTCTTTGCTGAAGAGTTTGTCATGGATGAAGGAGCAGTGATGTTCTCGTGCACACTGTAGACATCCCAGGCGAAGGGAGCTGCAGCTGTGACGGAGCAGAGCCATGATGTGAGCAGCATCCAGGGCATCAGCCTGGCAATTCTCAGCTTCAGCCAGATGAAGAAAGACTGTGTAAAACTGGCAACCTTGATGCAATAGAAGACACTAAGCCAGGCTCCAAACCAGAGGCTGGAGTAGTTCAGAAAGGCAAATATTGTCTGGGAAGCTATGTGCACATTTTCTGTATAAATGAAGGGTTTGTAAAATATAATCATTAGGAAATTCAGTGTAATCCATGACTGCAAAATGAATCTAGATGAACTGAGCGAGATCATGATCATATCATATGGGGGCCATGTTTTGCTCCCAATGCAGCTCAATGAACTGGCAGCCAAGATAATTCCATTTCCCAGAATTCCTGCCAGGGATTCAATTATAGCAATTGATAGACAAAGGAGAGCAAAAGATGTCATCATTGCAACTGAAGAGCTTGTGATTATTACTCAGCTTCTCCTGGGCTCCTGAAAGCCTCAGACCTAGTACTGCCAATTCCAAGAGTTGTTATGGGCAATGCTCCCCTATTTATCTCAGGCGCAGAAATAACCTATTGTCATTTAATATTTCTGCTGTTTTACATCTTGTTTTCTAGGCTGATAGCTCATCTGATTTGTCTAAGCATGCAAATGGGGACAAGATTCAATTACATAGGTTTCATTTTTGTGGAAGGATTTGCATTGTAAAGCTATGGAGCAGCTCAGCTGGGGTTTACAGAACTGTGGATTTGCACTACAGTATCCGATGCCATGCTTTACATGCCTAGATTTGGTTTTTTAAAAATATCTTAGACCTTAATCTCTCCCTGTCTTGCACTGTCATGTCCTCTTTGTTTATGAGAGTAATCTCTGTGGCCTCTTCTAATACTGAAGCAGGTTTTTATCAGATGTATTCAAATATCTGCTAACAGGCTTGGTGGGCATGCTACAGCCAATCAAGGTATAAAGGATTTTCATCATCTCTCCCCTGTCATTGCACATATTAGATCAACAGAGAGGGGGAATGGAGATCAACCCACAGATGAGACTGAGTAAGGCTCTGTATGTTTTTAATTTTCTAAATAGTTCAAGTACAGAACCAGATCCACCAATCTTTAGACACTTTTCAAATAACACACAGGCAAAACTGAAAGAACATCCTCCTGTTCTAATTAGAAACCCTGACTCTAGACAGATAGAAAGTCCGTTTCAATTAATAACGTGAGGCAAAGGGTATGCTTCTATCTCCACAAGTGCTGGAATTAAGTGGGTTCCTGCCAAAAACGTCAAACCATATCGCACTTCAGAACCTGTTGTCGAGCCCAGAACCGAAGAAGCAAGTACGCAGACGTGAACCGAATCGAAAGATCCCAAGTCTTGCCTGAAGCCTCTTGTGCCTGACGTTCTTTGTGCATCGGTAGAACCCATGAACTCTGATCTTGTGCCAATGTTATTTATGAGTATACTAATTGAATGCTGAATGTTTGTTTAACAAAGCTAATTTTTAGTAAAAACTTAGGTTATTGTTTTTGTGTAGAAAGAATTTTGCTAAAATTTAGTTCTTGAAACAGATGGGGCAAAATCAAATAGTATACTTGTTTTGCTTGATTTTAATTGTTTTTTGTCGTGCAGATTTGCCTGTAGATCAACCAAAAACGAATGTTTGAGTGACCTTAGCCAAGGCTGCCAGATCAGATACTATATGTTTGTCTAATTCAGAACCAGAAAAGCCTTTTTCAACCTGTTTAGTTAGTGTGCCAGTGGAAGAGTTGCCTTTAGTCAAAAAACAATCTAATGGTAAACCAAGTAGAATTGACAATAGAAACAGTCCTTCCTTCAATTAGAACATTTAGTCCAAAAAATTCCTTAGGGCAGCATCTGAATCTCAAGAATTGGAAATCCTTAGTTCTTTGACTAAGGATTACAATACTTTACAGTATTGTAAAGGTTCTAATATTTCAAGTTCTTGTTTTTATGAAGTAAACCAAACTGTTGACATCCTGTAGAACCTTTTGGAGGTCTGGCTCCAGTTTCTTTGCTGTAATAACTCATCTATGAATATTGCAGTGAACGAATTCCAGGTGTAGTGATGACTACAAAACCCTACCACCTAATCCTTCTCTTATGCCAGTCAAAGCAGCTGTTCCACTGGTCTTTACACTTGCACAGCTCTTACAGAAAACATTTTTATTAAATAAATAATTTTCTGTGGAGAATACAGCTTCTGTGGTAAATCTTCCCTTCAGTGGCTTACAGAAGGTAGCTCTTCATTTATTTCACTACTGAAACAGAATTTGTCAAATACCTTAATCTGAGGCATTATAGAAATATTTGTACTTTCACCCACTCAGGAATCCTCTTCCACTATGTAATTTGTGCTTATACTTGTCTCTTCAAGCCTTTAGCAGTATTTTCTATGTGTCTTCTAACAGTGTTTGCTGATAACAGAATCCATTTTAGTTTGCTGCTCTATTGCTTTCTGTGTATTTTCTCTATAGCTTTCTGTGTATTATCCCAGCCATTTTTACTTTTTATGGCAGAAAGAATAAGTGTTTATCTGGTCCTATGTGACATTTTTTCTTTTGATGTGAAGCAAGAAACTTCAAAGGAGGCTTCTCTACACATTTGTCATAAAGTTTGGTAAAATTTTGTAAAGTACTGAATTGAATGTTATGTGGCTTGAAACATGGCTGAAAAAATTGTAGGGGTTTGTCTTTGTGCTCTGGATGCTTAGATTTTAAATATCTTGCTAATTCTGGTGGCTTCATAGTGACATTAGCTAAATTTTCAAAGCATTCTCAAAGTAAAATTTTCAAGTACTTCCTGGCCATGTGATCTGCCTGGCCAGCTGTGTGCAACTTTATATTATTCTGGTAACCCACACCTGGGAATGACCTTTGTTTCCATGGCTGAGACCCAGGGTGACTCATGTGCCTCTACTCACTGCAAACCTCAAAATTCAAGCCAAGCCAAGCCAAGCCTACCCTATCTGGCAATGGTCTGACAATCTGAGTGACACTGCTGCCATTCCAGGTGCTAGATTTGATTCTGCTGCTGTATTCTCAATTATGCTCATGCTCAGGAATTATCTAGAAAGTCCTGGAGCAATCTTTTTCTCCAGGAAGGGTCAAAGGAAGCTGCTGATGGGTAGATAATTCCTTCACCCTGTGAGAAATGACCATCCAGTTCCTGGGATCATATGTGCTGTGCACTTTGGTGGAACAGCAGGAAGTGACGCATTTTGACCTGAAAAGGGTCAGTTTAATGTTCTATGTAGTGATCTCATGCCTGTCACTGTCACCATATCACATTCTAGTCACCAGCACCTGAGAAGAAGGTGCTCCATTGCATTTTGCAGCCTTACTCCCTTGATACTGATTGTCAGGCATCCAGTCCGAGTCCATGTGCAGATGGACACAAAGGTCTCTCAGGCCATCTTCCAGAATGTCTACCCATGTGTCAAAATCAACATCAGCAGGGTGCTAGCTGAACCTGAACACCTCATCCTCATGGAATCAACTAACAAAGTACGTATATATCCCCATACACAGTTTATAGAAAGGCTACTATAGAAGCCTAGTAGTCAACTATTTCAAAAGCTGCTCAACACGATGTAAAACCACAAGGGAGAATTATGGTTGAAGCATAGATTACAATGGTCATGTCAAGGAGCAGCAGGAGGAGCTGTTCCATAAAGAAATGAGATCCAAAAAGGCAGCATCACCACAAGGCAGGCAAGAATGTCAAGCATGCAGTCCCACCTCCTATAACCAAGCATAGCTGAGAAGCTCTGTGTTGGGTCAGCCAACAGTCCAGTAATACTAGATATGTCCATAGTGATACAACATGTCCAAGATCAAGCCAGTTAATTCCAATTTGTAGACCAGGATCAGTATCCAGGTCAGCTAGGCAGGTGGAAAAACTCAGGCAAAGCTGCAGCGCAGCTGAGTGAGAGAGCAAGGGTGAGCACCCAGCTTAGAAGTAGCTCCCAAAATGAGAGGGGGCTGAGCCCTGCTGAGCCATCTCCCAGCAATCTGTTTTAAGGTCAGTCAGCTGTGCTGTTGAAGTTGGCTCTGAAACTCAGCAGCCAAAACTCCAAAAGAAGTGTAGAGCCCCTAACTGTACTCACCATAGCAGTACCTGGGAACTTTATGTCAGTCCGGCCTTTTTATCGTCTGGTGGTAAAATTAATTATATCAGCAGTATTCAACACAAGTAGATTCCAAGGGCTTGACAAAGAAATCAGAGTTAACTACTACAGTAGATGGATAGCTAAGTACATAAAATAGTTCAGTAAATGTCTAGAGAATAAGTATACAGTGTACAGCACTCTGATCTGATTTACCAGGAGCACAGCCAGTAGATTAAGGAAAGTGATTCTCTTCCTTAACACTTTTTAAGGTGATATCTGGAGTATTGCATCCAGTATTTGGGGGGAATTTTATTTTTCTGGTGACTGGACACTACTGAATTTACACACAACACCAGGCTTAGGCTGACCACAAAGTTCTGGAAGACAGATTCAGAATTCAAAATCATTTTGTCAAGCTGGAGATGCAGTCTGATAAAATAGGGACAAATGCCTACAGAGATGAATAAACACATGTATATATAAATTTGTGAAGAAAGCAGTAATAAAAATAGATGCTATACTGGGAGATGCAACCAAAAATTTTTGTTTGTTGCATAAATTAAGGCATTGTACTCTTGTATGTGCCTCTAATAAAGTTGTATTTCAGAACTATAAAAATTGGAAACAACAGCCTTTTTTAGTTTAGAAAGAAGAAATCTGCAAAAGGGCTAACAAACATGAAAAAAAGCTCTGAAAAGACAGGAATAAACTCTTAAAGTGCATTGTGAAGAGGGCAAGGAGTGGCTGGTTTCATAATTACAAAGCCAGATCCTTTTTACAATTAGTCTTAAAACCTGGAGGAAAAGAAACAACATGTATATTTTCATTGCAAACTTTTAAAAAAAGTTTGAACAAGAAGATTCTGGAGAGTCACAGAAGAAGATGATCCTGCCTTGGATAAGAGAAGTAAATGAAAGCAAAGCTTATTCATCTAACTATATAGAAATCTACTAAAAATACATTTCTTTCCATTTCATTAGTCTAGGAGAAAAATCTCTCCCAGCTAATTTGACTGTTTGGTGAACTAAAGTGTTTGGTACTTAATAATACCTCATAGTGACACAGGAAATTATTTAGTTCAATTCAAAATATGCCACATTGCTGGCCAAATGCAAACAACTCCATTTTACAGACGCAATGGCAAGTTACCTGATGACTAAAAACCTCATATAACAACAGAATCAAAGATACAAAATGGAACTTGAAATCTCCAGAATTCTAAGTTTAAGCCTTAACATCTGAAACACACTGCAATAACTGGAGATACTGAGGAGGATGAAAAGGCTAAGAAGAGGAGACAAAAAATGAAACT